GTTAAAGAGGAACGATTAAGTTCAACTCTAATTCTCTTCCCATTTTTTTATAATTTTAGCTACTCTGTAATTTATAAAGTTGTTAGTTATTTGATTGAATATGTTGCATTTATTATATAGTGAACGTAACTAACGACTAATTGCTTTGTTTTCCGTAATATTTAAACAATTTCTTAGTTGCCCTTGCATGTAAATTTTGTTTTAATCCTAAGTTTTCGTCACGAGCGTGGCATACGGGGCGCGGCAACGCACGAGGCGGTTATCGCGCTCCTGCCCGCCTTGTATACGAACGCTCTGGTTGGTCGGTAATTTTTGTTAATAACTCGACAACCACGCCTCGGACAACTTTTTTGCAAAGGAAAAAGTTGTTTAAAATCACCATGGCTCCTCCCCACTTCAAGGTCTAACACTAGTTCTGGAACATCTCCTCTAAAACAATGTGATAAGAATTGTGACACAAAAGCCTTAATGACTCAGAAACTAATCATTTCCGAACCTATGTTAATGTAACTTTTTTGTCTTCTCTAAGCGTTAGAAATCTATTCCTAAAGTTTTGCTCACCATTTACGAAACACCTTGTATTATGTTATATATTTCTTCATATTTAATGACGCCTGGATTCAAACTCTATATAACATAAGTCTCATTTTTTTGTGTCAATATTTAATCGTTTATAACTAAAAAGTGGAGCCATGGTCACAACTTATTTTTATTCTTTCCGTTTGTCTTCAGTACCCAAACACCATTATGTACAGCAAGCATGGCCAAAGGTGTCGCGCAAGCGACGCGACCTTCAGCGGGAGCCTAAGTGGGGATGTGTTAAGTAGTGTAAGCACATTATGGTCCGCTATGTTACTATGACGATGGCACGAGGTGGGGAAAGCTATTGGAGTAGGGAGAAATGAGTTGGCCATGCCTGATGTACAGTATGTAAAAGCTAGTACATGCCCTTTAAAAATTTACATAACAGCTTGAACAATGATTACTAAATCTGAATGGAAAAGTTCATCAGTGAATACTGAATATTGTTCGGCCAGTCTCCATCGGGATCGAGGTTTAAATTACATATGGGAAGAGACCCACGACTGGAGTAGATTCGCAACAGCGTAACGTGAAGTTACGCCACGGAGCGACGCGGGTCTCCCGTAAGATATTAAAGCGACATTATGTCTCCTGTGTTGGAAACTCGCCCGACGGATGCGGGAACGTCATCCCCGATCGAAGCTAACCGGAACGCTCTTGGGACAGATTATTGAGAGTTCCGTTCCCGTCTCGACTCGCTAAGGCGACGTGCCTATCTACCCACCGACCCGTTTCTGGAATTCCTCCTGTCCGTTCCTTTCCATCCTACTCTCTCGTCCTTGGTAGTCACCCGCAGAATCTCAAGCATCCGATTTTGGAGAACGGTCGACAATTAGCCGCGTGCTGTGATCGCGTTCGGACGCCTTCTGTGGTCTCCACATTTCGCGAAAGGTATACTGCCGCTCAAGACGCGCGCGCGCGAATCTTTCCCCCGGACTATTCTTTTTTACTGTGGCAAATAAGAAAATAATTAAAGGTGGCAGAGTAAGCCAGAGAGCAAAGAGCTGTATACTGATTGTACATAATTAATAAGAAATAC